CCCGGCAGATACAGATGGAATATCTGTGGGTGCTTTGCATCAGGCCACCCTCGCACCAGCAGAGCCTGAAGCACCCACAGAAGCACGAGCAGCTGGATGCAAGCGCGCATGTGAGGCAGAACCAGCACAAAGCCAAAAGCATGGACGTTTGACCTATCAGGCGATTGATGTTGAAAGAGGTTGTCCCTTGGATTGGGAGACCACCATTGGGCAAGTTACTTTGTCGGAAGGCAAGCGCCTCGGATTGATGGTTCAGAGGAAGCATGCAGAAAAGTTTCTGCTGCCGGTAGAGGACCGGAAGCTAGCCGAGATCAGAAGCAAGCCAGTCAACTTCTTGAAAGAGGGTGATCAAATACTTTTGATCAGCACTGGGGATCACCGGCGTGAGGCCATCGCCATTCTGGAGTTTCAATCGTGCTCAAAAATAATGATCCAACATTTTGCCAAGTATGAAAGTATGCACTGTGTGAGTTCTGCAGAGTTCAGTCAAATTAGTGCATCGTGGGGCCTGCAAGGTTTCTGTTATGCCTGGCACTTTGAATTGCGTGTGAAAATCCAGCCTCCTTTACCAATCCCCGTGCAACGCGGGCCAGTGGTTTGGTTGGGATTGGATACTGCAGAATTGCTGCAGCTCGCCTCAGGCTGTCTTAGAAGAAGTTGGTCAGACTCATGCTCTTTTAGTGAGCAAGACTCCAGTTCTGCCAGCTACCCCCAAACCCCAGCAGAACTATCTGAAGATGGATCAAGTTCTGGTTTGGTTGTCCGTCTTCCTGCCGGCGTGCTGAAGAATCTTGAAGAAGCATCGGGGAATGCCGCCATTCTTGTGGCCTTTCCTTGCAAGCCATCTCAGGTCTTGTGCCTTGCAGAAGCTGGTGGGCATCGGGGCTCTTCAACCAAGATGGTGGGTAGGGCGGTCTTGTATGATTGCCAGCAAATCTTGTCTCTTAGCCAGCAAATCTTGTATGATTGCCCAATTGAAGAGTAGCGAAGCCTGGAAACTTGTCTCAACTGCTGAGAAAACTGCATGGAAGAGCCGCCTTGAAGGGGGCAAGAAGGTATACGAGTGGATTCTGAGCAATCTTGACATGTCTCCTCACGGAGTCGTGTCAATGCCCAGCAGGGGGAGGGCAAAACATGTCCAACTTGCTAGTGTTGAAGAATCTTCAGGCGGTGAGCAACCTACTGCACCCAGCATGGACTTGCGTTCAACAGCAAGATTCTTCCTTGAAAGAATGTCAGCTCCTGATCGGAAAGAATTGGCAACTACCCTTCACAGACTGGATGGGTGCACTCTTCGGGTTGGGAGCACTTGCAGCGGGACAGATGTTTGTGCAAATGTGTTTCGCCATACCTTTGCCGCGCTGTGCCTTCTTCACAATGTATCTCAACTGAACTGAACCGGACTAAATTTGCAGTTGATGTTCCTTTCTCAGACCTTTCAGATGTAAGAGATAGAATATTTTTGCACTGCCATTTATATATAAACACATTCATGATTCCCTTATCATGCCTTTTTGATACCTCTATCATACCCTCTTTCAGACCTTTATCATACCATTGGACCTCTTTCATATATGTGCCATATCAATCATTATGCGGTGCTTTCTATGTCATGTTTCTCCATCTTTATCATTGCCTTTTTCCGGGTTCTTCTTTTGTACTTATTCACATTGTCTTTATTCACATATATATATATATATATGTATATATCATATTGTCATGCTTCTTGCATAGCCTTCTGCCCAGGTATCCATCAAAATTGAACAAGTCTTTGCCGTGGAGATTGAAGAGTTCAAGCGAAACTTCATTGCAGAAGCGTTCAAGGAGGAGCTTCAGCATTTGTTTGCAGACGTGTCCATGTTCACTGGTGAAACACCCGGAATCGGGTATTGCTTCAAGTGTGGGAGGGAGCACCAAGTGCCGCATTGTGATATCCTGGTGACTGGACCAAGCTGTAAGAATTGCAGCAAGGAGTTCATCCATAGGAAGCACTTCGCGAACTGTCTCTCGATCTCAGGATTCGGGTCTTGGGAGTTGGGGTATTGTTGAAAAGGGTAAGACACATCCGGCATGATGGCTGGCCAGGACCAACACTATTGGAACCCGTGAATTCAATATAGTAGCTAGCATTGAAAGAAACGGCGCCACTGCCATCCAAGGTTACACTGATGGAACTGGCACCTCAGGATCAACATACCAGCAAGGGATGCTGGGGGGCCATAGATGTGATCAACCCAGTGCTGGTCTTCTATGAGAATGTTGTCGGAGTGTCTGAATGGAGCAAGAATCAAGCCGGAGAGAAGGTTCGGCCTTTTGTGGAGGCCGGAGTTGTGTCGGAGGTGGTCCTCCATTGAACTGGCATTTGATGTTTCTTTTCCGGAACTTCCAACTGTAAGAGATAGAATATGTCTTCCCGACAGTTCTTTATTTCTATATAATATAGAAAAACATATATATATATACATAGAGATAGAGCTTCCGTCAGCTTCTGTGCAGGACATGAGAGATCACCTTCATGAACGTGGATTCTGTTTCGAGTGGGACCGCTTAGACTCCCAAAACTACCTGCTTCACCAACGCCGCAACAGGGTGTGGGCAACAGCTGACATTTGCTGTGGTCAAGATGCAGGGGAATACAGCAAGCTCATGAAGGAAACAGTGAGATCAATGAGCTCCAATGTTCACTTTCCCTTCGAGTCTGTCTTTGATATAAGTTTGCCTCCAACACCTGAAGTCTTGAAGACCCCACTTCAGAAGCTTCGAGTTGCATCAGCAGTCAGAAGACAGAAGGAGAAGAACCGACCGAGTAGCAACCTGTTCATTGACTGCGGAACGTCACTACAGAGGGGTTGTGAGTTTGCACAAGAGGTATCCACCTGCATACGCCCTACCCACCAAGTGTGGTCAACTCGCTTGGGGCGCCATGTGACAGTTCCAGAGCTCTGGAATTGCCAAGGGCTTTGGGCACAGGACTGGCCTGAAGCATCTGCTGTGCTGTCTATGCTGGAACGTCCCAAAGAAGCCCAGGATCTCTGTGGAAACAGTTTTTCCTCAACAGTTTCTCAGTCGAAGCTGCTAGCATCATTGGCTCACTCTGCAGGATGGAAAACCATAGCAGATCATCATCATCAGTTGGCTGCTCCTTGTGAGAAAACAGTTTCTGAGGCGGTGCAAGCTGCGAACATCCAGCAGCATGGCATGCAGGGGTCAGAACAGGCTGATACCATCCGCAGGAGGATCAAAGGGAAGCGGAAGGCCGCAGAGCTTCCTGGTTATGCAGACCTTCCGTTCATTCCACCGAAGGTTGAAAATGTGAAGAGGCGACGTGGTAGGCCACGGAAGGATTCTCCACCACGTGTTCCCCGCGGAGGTCACCCCAAGCCAAAGAAGCCAATCCGAAGTCAAGCCAACAAGAAGACCCGTGGCAAGCAGGGCTCCCTCAGCATTTGGACAAAAGTTCAGCTGCTGAATGAGTCTTTTTTGGACATTAAAAGGTTTTCATGTGTTGTTTCATTTATGTGTGTAAACATATATATATACACATGCTCTTTGCAAGAACTACACATGAGTTAAGAAAGAGATGGAATATTTGACGCCCAGGAATATGACAAGATCAAGAAGGATGCCACGATTCGCAACCCAGAGGCTTGGATGTTGAAACATGCCAAAGGTCGAGGCCAGTATCAGGGCTGCTTCAGTGAGTCCAAGTGGGGGGGGCGACGCAAGATATATCGCTGGGATCTTTTTGTGGCTTGTGCAGAGAGGATGTCTAAGAGGATGTGCGAAGTTCCAAATGTCCTTCGACCAGTGCTGGGGATCAAGGGTTTGAAAGCCGCGGGCCGTGCAGTCAAGAAGGGAGGTGCCTCCACCGCCTGCATGCCAACCCCGTTGGCTCTGGGCATTGAGAGCATTGTTCTTGATCGCATCCAGGCCGGTGAACAAGTTACGCATGACTATGTCTCCAAACTCACCGTGCACATGGCTGGTCAGTGGAACCATCATATTGAGAAGTTTCGCGAGCAAGCGGTAGAGGCTCTGGGGCAGTGGGCATTGAAGGACGTCGACAACCAATTGAGTACCGAGGCATCAAATGAACAGATCGAAGCTTCCCAGCAGATGGCGGCTGAGGCAATGCAGGATGCGATGCAAGCTCTGCGACCCTTTGAGTTCAGCTTGCATCCAAAGGCATTGCAGCATCTTGGACCACCAAGAAGGTTATCTACCATAAGTAGAACACACGGTGGAATTGAAACTAAAGGTAAAATGTACGTATATAATCCTATGTGTTGCTTTATATATATATACTGGAAGAGTTGCACCCCTCCTTCATTGACAGCTCAGGTCTCAAGTTCGCCGCACATGCACCAAACTTGGTGTCAGAGGGGCCCAAGTGATCAAGCAAAGCAAGCATTTGGACTTTGGGCACCCAGCGATGGAGGCTGTGAGATGCTTCATCCGGAACTGCAATGAGACCCATGGTGTCAACAAAAGATTGGTGGCTCACTTCGACCAGGTGTGGACGATCCACTTTGAACACCACCAACGCGTCTTGTTCAAGATGGAGGATGAGCGAGGAAACTTGCCGGAACTGTTGCTTCCTTCTGAGAAGAAGATCATTGCCTCATTGGAAAAGATGCTTCACATTCCACGTGAGGAGGTTTCTTGCACTTTGAATGGTATTCATTCTTCGCACAGCAGCAAATCTTGCACGGCAAGGCTCAATGCTGCAGGGCATCAGGTGCCCGTGGATCAGGCTCGCCAGCCCCGTACAACGACCACTTTAAGCTGGGCAGATGGTCAGGCCTGGTCCGCTGAAAAATATGTGAACGTACATGTATATATATATATATATGTACTTCTTGGCTGAACTAGCTCCCTTTCTAGGACATTCCACCTGTAAGAGATAGAATATTATGGCCTTTCTGGACAGTTTTCCTTTAGAGCTTCACTATATTGTGCTTTTTCTATTACTAAGCCTGTATCATACATTCAATATGATTCATTTCATACCTTTACCATACAGGTTTCATGGCTTACTTTAAAACCTCCATTCCAGATTCTCCCGCAGATGGGCAGAGCGTATGTCACAATGAAGAGTGGTTCCATCGACCAAAAGACTCTGGAAAAGGTGAATGAAGATCTTGGAGCACACATGCTTGTGACAGTTCAAGACCCTCGACTGCATGCCAGCAATATTTCTACTCCCATCATTGAACCTTGGGTCTCTCGCATACAGCTGCAAGAGAAATAATTTACCCGTTACCGCGGTTGAGAATAGAGAAGCCAAGACCATAAAGGATAAAGAGGATAAAGCAGTGTTATAGATATGTATAAATTATTTCTATATATTGTAGTTGTAATATATATATATATGTATTCTTCTACAGCTACCTTTCAACCAAGGACTCTGGGAGCCATATGTGGAACTCCACTACTCTTCTGTTCTGTCATATTTGGCATTTTTGAGTGAAGAGCTCCGATATCGTCGCAAGGAGCTCAACTTGACCTGGAAAGACAAAGGGTTGGTCATGATGGACCGCGCGGCCGTGCATTCCTGCGCAACCTTCAAACAGTGCAGAGACCTCTGGCAGAAACAAAATAACTGCTTACTGGTGTGCGGTGATTCCGGGGATGACGGGTCTCTCCCTATCATCCCCGGAGGCTGGGGAGCTTGCGGTGCACCCAATGATGGGTGGCACCAGTTTTTCCATGGCCTACGCAGATCGTACCCATCAATCAGGGAAGTTGTCCACTTCTTCGCAAGAGTTTGGCAGACCTGGACTTGAGTATCAATGGCGATCCCAGATGGAAGCAACTCTGATGTAAATGGCATTCGTCTCCTTATGCTAACTTCCAAGTTGTTTCCCCTATAATTTGTCTATTTGCTGCAAAGATGTATATTGAATATATATATATATATATGTGCATGGAGTTGGCTTTGAAGACTGTTTCTTTGGACGACCAGGCTGGATATTGAAACAAGCCTCCATGCTGATGCGTGGGCTCTCGAGCAGATTCAGAAGTACCAGGGAGGAAAGCTTGTGCTTCAAGCTTGGATCCATCGAGGCATGACATCCTTTGAAGATTTGGCTGAATGGCGCTTTGATGGAAATCTAGAAGCTGCAAAGCAGTCACTAGAGAACACGCAGGGTGCCATGCAAGCATTGTATTCTTTGGATGAATTGCCAGCCCTCGAGTCTGCGGACAAGGAAGCTGTGAAGCAGTCACAACAGGAGCTTTTGGAGGGCGAATTTGCTTCAGCCTGGTCAATACAAGCTTTAGAGGACGGCAGCCATCCGATCCCGTTGCCTGATTGGTTTCAGCCAGCTATCAACCGCACAATTTTGATCTGGAAGAAGGAGGCCAGTGTTTGGGAGTCTCGCTTGGCAAAGCGTCAGCAGAACGGCAAGAACTTCTACACACCAAAGCAACAGGAGGAGTTTGATGACTGGAAGAAGACTTGGTGCAGGCGCATCATCCTGGATAAGCGGAAGAAAATCCAGATCCTAAACTTCCAGAAGAAGAACCTCTTATCAGTGCGTGGCCACTGCTTGGTCCTTGAAGTGCAGCTGAGCCATGAAGCAACTGACTTAAAGATTCGATCTGGAAATGGGCCCTTCTTCCAGCTTAAACTTCTGCAGGTGCAGGCACCCACCAAAGATCTGCCACCAGAGGTTGATCAAAGTGGGGATGACATGCTAGAAGATTGTCACTTGTTGGCACAACACTTCTCCTATATACTCTGGCTTCTCATTTTTTCTGTTTGATGCTCCTTTTCCAGAGCTGTCGACTGTAACAGATGGAATAATCCACTCTTTGCCCTTTCAGCCGTTAACCTCGTATCCTTCTGTGATTATCATACCATTGCCGGCCTTCATCATACCTGCATGGTACCTTTTATCATACCTTTCTCAAACCCGCTGAGACAAACTAGCTCCATTGGGTGGTGATGCTCTTTTATCAAGCCTTCCAACAACTGTGAAAGAAAGAAGGAAAGTATATATATATATAACTATTTTTCCAAAAATACTTATATATAGGTAAAGATAGAATATGTCCTTTTTCCATATTAGGTACACATATATATATATTTCTAGATGTTGGATCCTGAGGCTGCAATGACGACCAGGACGAGGTAGAGGAAGAGCATGAGTTGGATGAGCGTGAAGCCGTCATGCAGGTGGATGAGTGTGAAGAGGCATCCCCTGTGGATTTGGACGGGTTTGAGTTCCATTGCTGTAGCGAGGACAGTGAGAATGAGGATGCAAACCTCGTGCATGGTGCTCGCAAGCGCGTTCACACTGCTGAGGAAAGGGAAGAATTCAAAGAATTGAAGGCCAAGGGTCTCACTTTGAGGCCGCCAGGCACCACTGTCGGGGTTCACCCACAGGCACGTGTGTGGCGCGCGTATTGCCAAGATTCCACGTATTTTGGCCGCTCATGGGGTGGCACCTCAGGCCGGAGCCCGAAGCAGGCGCTCCTGTTGGTGTTCAGGCTCATGTTGGGAGAGCATGTGAAGCTCAACCCAGCCGACCATTTTGCTAGGAAGCAATGCGACCGCGTGCACAAAGCATGCATGGAAGCAGGGATTTGCTCTGCTGATATGGAGAGGGCGACCTGATTAGTAGCAATTTGACTTTGAAAATAGGAAGCAGTAAGAGATAGAATATGTTCACTAGGAGAAACTAGGAGAAACCCTGCCCTAAAACCTATCAACTTGCTGTTTTATACCACACTGGTACGGTACGGTTTATAAGTTATATATCAACATGAGGATGTAGGAATGTAGATAGAATTGGGAGACATTTGAGCAGATGATCAACAATTTCTAGGAATATTACAATATTTTCCAACATCCGGCCCAAGACTGTTCTTTTTTGGTTTCCCTCCACAAGCCCATTGCCAGAAAGCAATGCGATCACGTGCACAAAGCATGCTTGGAAGCAGGGATGTCCTCTGCTGATATGGAGGGGGCGACCTGATTTTGTATCAATTTGACTGTGAAGAATAGCACTCAGTAAGAGATAAAATATTTTTTGTTAATACCGCATGACTATTTATTTTGGTTCCCTCCACAAAATTCCTTGCCAGAAAGCAATGCGATCGCGTGCACAAAGCATGCATGGAAGCAGGGGTTGCCTCTGCTGATATGGAGGGGGCAACCTGATTCTGTAGCAGTTTGACTTTCAAAGCACTGCCTTCAGCAAGAGATAGAATATGTTCGCTCGTGGTTTGTTTGTTGTGATTTTTGTTGGTTTGCCTCCACAATCCCATCACATTGCACAGGGTCAAGATTGACCGACCATTGATCATTGGGGTAACAGTAAGGGAAAAAAGATTGCGGCAGTCGGCAGCATGTCGGTCTTTTCTCATTCTTCTCTTGATTCATTTTCGGTCTTGAGTCTTGATTATTCCATCTCTTGATTGGTTGTTTCTTGATTATTCCATCTCTTTATTGCCCTCAGGGTGTCTGAGATTATTCCATCTCTTTGTCATTCGCAAAACAATATTCCATCTTTCAGGAGTTTACTATACATTTAGTTTTGCAGGTACGTTTTCACGGGTCCCAGAGGAGGTCTTCGTTGGCCACCGCTCTTCCGGGACCCCGGTGGCCCCCCTGAACATCCCTTGCAAGTTTACGCCAAACGGTGACCGCTGACTCCAAGGTTTCCACACTCTGACACTTGTATTCAGTGATTCAATTCCCACGTTGAGAAGGAAGGTGAGAGAACGGCAAGGTGGCAAGGTCCGCTGAAAAGTATTGTTGAACATGGTTTTCAAATACACTCGAAAGACGCGGCTGCAAAGCTGTGCAAGTCGGCGGCTCAGCGGCTGAAAGAAACCTGTTTGGGGGGTGGAGGCATGAAGAACCATGAAATCAACAAAGCAGCGGCAGGGTGGACCATTGGAGTCAGTGTGTTGAAAGCAGGTACAGGAAGGTGATCAGCCTTCCCTTCCCATCCATGACCGCAGCTTCGTTGCACACGGTAGGTCATGGATGCCGTGTGCCCCTGCCTGTAGAAGGTGGTTGAAAAAGGTGGTTGAAAAACGTGGAAGGAGTAGCGGTGGAAAACCCTTTGTCCAGGGGTGGACACACACA